CTCCTCCTCTTCCTCCTCATCCTCCTCCTCATCCTCCTCCTTCTCCTCCTCCTCCTCTTCCTCCTCCTCCTCCTCCCTCCTCCTCCGTCCTCCTCCCTTCTCCTCCTCCTCCTCCTCCTCCTCCTTCTCCTCCTCCCTTCTGGGCGTGGAGGCAGGCCCTGGAGGAACGGGGTCGAAGGGGGTCCTGCAGCAAAAGCGGGCCCTCCTCCACCTCCTCCTCCTCTTCCTGCTCCTCCTGCTCCTCCGCCTCCGCCTCCGCCTCCTCTTCCTCCTCCTCCTCCTCCTCCTCCTCCTCCTCCTCCTCTTCCTCCTCCTCCTCCTCCTCCTCCTCATCCTCCTCCTCCTTCTCCCTCTCCTCCCTCTCCTCCCTCTCCTCCTCTCCTCCTCCCCCTGCGGGAACCTGCCGCGCGGAGTGCGCGAAGGGCGGAAGTCGAAGGTCGGCCTGGCCCGGAACGGGATGGGTTCGTGCCGTGTCGGCGCATCGGCGACCCCGGCGCGGGCGCTCAAGCTTGGACGCCAGCGGCGGCATCGGCTGCGCGTGAAGAGTGATCCTTCGCCGGACTGGCCTTTGCTGCGCGGCTCTCGGGGGGCGCTGTGGGGCCACGCCCCAGGCATGCAGGCCGCCATTGTCGCGCCGCGCGCACTGGCCGGCAAGCCGCGCACTGAAGGTGAATCTTGCGTGGCCGACCGATCGAACGCTCGGCGCTGTTCGGGAAGCCGCAGTCGCTCAAGGGCGAGCGGTGCAGCATGCGGTGTCGGAGGCCAACGCCGACGCCGCCACGGCACGACGTCGGAGCCTGCGGCGTGTGAGGTATGGACGGCCGGCGTCTCCCCGAAGAGGAGGAGGCCCGCCTTCGAGGCATCGTCCCGCCGTGGGCGGACGACCCGCTGGACGTGCCGCCCCAGGCGCAGGAGCGCTGTCGCCGCCGCCGCCGTCTCCGCCGCCGTGGCCGTCGCCGCCGCCGTGGGCGTCGCGCTATCGTCGTGGTCCCTCTGGGCCCAGGCGTTGCTTACCAGCCTCGAACGTATCCCTATCCCTAAGATTGACACGCCAAAAGGCGATGACAATCTCAGGGATCCACCCTCAAAAAATAAGGGAATCCCTAAGATTGGCATCGTGATGAGGAGGTGCCCAGCATAGGGATAGGGATATGTTCCAGGCTGGCAAGTTGCCGAAGAAACGTGACGCCTCTTCTCTCGCAGCTCCGAGCCTCTGAAGGCCAGCTCCCGGCCCCGAGACCTCAGCCACTGCACGACCCGGGGGGCGGGACCCCTGTCTGGGGGAGTGGTCGAAGGCCCGTGGTGCCGATCTTAGGGATTGCATCCTCGACATGCATCTCTATGACGCTTCGCGATTGTGCGCGAGGAATTGGCGGTTGTTCGCGAGGAGGAGGACCAGGAGGAGGAGGAGGAGGAGGAGGAAGAGGAGGAGGAGGAGGAGGAGGAGGGCAGGAGGGAGGAGGGAGGGACAAAACGTTGCCAAAAATTGCAGCGTCCGAAGAGAGGGGTCGTCACCGCCGGTCGCCGCCTCCGACGCCGCCGACACCGCCGTCGCCGCCCCCGCCGCGGCCGCCGATCGACGCGGCGGCACGGCAGATCTCCCGCCTCCTCTCGCCGCGAACAGGAATCACAGCAGCAGGAGAAGTTTGGGACGCGCTCGGCCTCTGTGGGCCTTTACTGGTCCCAGGGCGATCAGAAGCAGAGGCGATTCGGGACGAAGGGGCGGTCCGGGGGAGGTGGTCCAGACCTCCGGCGTCCAGGCCACGAACGAGATCACGACGTCGGAGTTTTGGGAAGTCCCCTGCCTCCTCTGAGGGCTTGCCCTCTTCGCGCCAGCCCCTTCTGCTCAGGCAACGTCTGCAGCCGACCGCCTCTCAGGAGGGGAACATCACACAGACACAATTAATCATCGATCCCCAGGAGAATATATGAAAATATTGGAAGTGGAGGGGAAGACGAAAACCCAGAAAATATAAGAAAATATTGGGAATATTGGTCAGGGTGAGGGGGCCGAACAGTTATTCATTATCTCTGGGTGCGTGGCTGAAGTGAGAATCCGTGGTGAGGATTCTGCTTGTTGCGTTGTTGTTGTTGTTGTTGCTGCTGCTGCTGCTGTTGTTGTTGTTGCTGTTGCTGTGTGTTGTCGTCGTCCCCCCCGCGACCCACCCCGCGACCCACCCCGCGACCCAACCCGACCCACCCCGCGACCCAGCCCGCGACCCACCCGCGACCAACCCCGCAACCCACCCCGCGACCCACCCCGCGACCCACCCGCGACCCAACCCGACCCGCCCACGACCCATTTGCGACCCACCCGCGACCAACTCCGCGACCCACCCGCGACCGATCCACAATGGTTTGCAGAAAAGATCGGCGCCTGCGGCGGGCTAGTTGTATAAGTTGTGGAACTTTCGCGCCTGCGGCGGGCTTCTCCAGAGTCTCGCAGACTGCCAACGTCCCCACCGCCCCCTCACTCTTATCCGCATCTGCGGGGTGCTACGTATTTGTGTGGATTTATTTGTGTGTCCCTGGGCCCCTTCAACCTCGGTGGTCATGGCTTGTCCGATCCGGTGCACGCGCCTCCCTGGTCCTATCACATGGGGGACGTGCACACCGATCCTGGGACCAGGATGGGCCCAGCCACGATCTGCAAGGCGGCCAGCTGACGCCGCCAGGCTGTTCGTGCACGCCGCATGCCCGCATCCTCCGACATAGGCGGCCAGCTGACGCCGCCAGGCTTTTCGTGCACGCCGCATGCCCGCATCCTCCGACATGACTTGTTCCATCTGCGGGCCCAAGGGGTCCTGGTCCTTTTCCTGGGGGGCGATATTCGTCCCTGACACATGCTCGTGCGGAAGGCGGCCAGCTGACGCCGCCCGGCTTTTCGTGCACGCCGCATGGCCGCATCCTCCGACATGACGTGTTCCATCTGCGGGCCCAAGGGGTCCTGGTCCTTTTTCCTGGGGGGCGATATTCGTTCCTGACACGTTTTCGTGCGTAAGGCGGCCAGCTGACGCCGCCCGGCGTTTCGTGCACGCCGCATGCCCGCATCCTCCGACATGACTTGTTCCATCTGCGGGCCAAGGGGTTCCGATCCTTTCCCTGGGGGCGATATCCCTGACCTTCCAGAGAGCTATGTTTTAGCACTGGAGACCTAAAAACCTAAAAAGCTGAGCGAAGCCGCCTAAAACCAAGAAGTAGGATAGCTTTGGGATCGGTTTTCAGTCGGGTGCTATTTTTTAGCCCTCCTGGAAGGTCAGGGAGGGCTTCGTCCCTGACACGTTTTCGTGGTCCCGGGGGCCAGTCACGGGCCCCATGAGAGGCCGAAGTACCCAGACCCCCGACGTCATGAGTTTTTCATGACGTCGACCCCCAGCGGTCTGGACCCATCCCCCGGGACCGGTTCTCCGTCCTGAGTCGTTCTTTGACATTTGACGGTCCCGAGGGCCGGTAAAGGGCCCCCGAAGGCCAAAAATAATGAAAAACCTCCCGCCATGATTTTTTCATAGCTCGAGGGGGCCTGGGTATAGCGCCCAGAGGCTGCAGAATCAGATCGTTCGGGCCATCGCTCGGGTCTCCGACGGCACCTTCGGGGCGCTTCGGGCACCCCATATGGGAGCACCCTCGGCTTCAGTCGGGCATTCGCGATGACAGTCGCAGTGGCAACGGCAGTCACAGTCACAGCCTCAGCCTCAGCCTGCCTCAGTATCAGCCTGCCTCAGCCTCAGCCTCAGCCTGCCTCAGCCTCAGCCTCAGCCTGCCTCAGCCTCAGCCTCAGCCTCAGCCTCAGTCTGCCTTCAGCCTCGGCCTCAGCCTCAGCCTGCCTCAGCCTCAGCCTGCATCAGCCTCAGCCTCAGCCTCAGCCTGCCTCAGCATCAGCCTGCCTCAGCCTCAGCCTCAGCCTGCCTCAGCCTCAGCCTCAGCCTGCCAGCCTCAGCCTCAGCCCTCAGACTGCCTCAGCATCAGCCTGCCTCAGCCTCAGCATCAGCCTGCCTCGGCCTCAGCCTCAGCCTGCTTCAACCTCAGCCTCAGTCTGCCTTCAGCCTCGGCCTCAGCCTCAGCCAGCCTCAGCCTCAGCCTGCATCAGCCTCAGCCTCAGCCTCAGCCTGCCTCAGCACCAGCCTGCCTCAGCGTCTGCCTCAGCCTGCTTCAGCCTCAGCCTTAGCCACAGCCACAGCCTCAGCCTCCGCCTCAGCCTCAGCCTCAGCCTGCCTCAGCCTCAGCCTGCCTCAGCCTCAGCCTGCCTCAGCCTCAGTCTGCCTCAGTATCAGCTTGCTTAAGCCTCAGCCTCAGCCTGCCTCAGCCTCAGCCTCAGCCTGCTTCAGCCTCAGCCTCAGTCTGCCCTCAGCCTCAACCTTAGCCTCAGCCTCAGCCTCAGCCTGCCTCAGCATCAGCCTGCCTCAGCGTCTGCCTCAGCCTGCCTCAGCCTCAGCCTCACCTCAGCCTCAGCCTCAGCCTGCCTCAGCCTCAGCCTGCCTCAGCCTCAGCCTCAGCCTGCCTCAGCAGCAGCCTGCCTCAGCCTCAGTTCGCTCCGGGCATTCAAAATGTGGCCCGGGAATGGTGTTCTGGGAACTCGAAGAGCACGAAGTGGCCTACAGTTGGCTGCGGGCATTCAAAATGTGGCCCGGGAATGGAGTTCTGGGAACTCGAAGAGCACGAAGTGGCCTACAGTTGGCTCCGGGCATTCAAAATGTGGCCCGGGAATGGAGTTCTGGGAACTCGAAGAGCACGAAGTGGCCTACAGTTGGCTCCGGGCATTCAAAATGTGGCCCGGGAATGGAGTTCTGGGAAGTCGAAGAGCACGAAGTGGCCTACAGTTGGCTCCGGGCATTCAAAATGTGGCCCGGGAATGGAGTTCTGGGAAGTCGAAGAGCACGAAGTGGCCTACAGTTGGCTCCAGGCATTCAGAATGTGGCCCGGGAATGGAGTTCTGGGAGGTCGAAGAGCACGAAGTGTGTGACTGTTTGCGAAAAACGCATTCGGACACGAGTTCGGACACAGCTCCCCGGGTCCCGCCCCGACCCCCCTGTGGAGTCATCTGCTGCTCTCTTTTGACACCACTAGAAACCTATCAGCAAAAGCTGTTAGGCAAATATTCGGGATGAACATCCGGTATTGGGGGATGGGTCGAGACTTCAGGGGACCCCGCGTTGGAAAATCACAACATCGGATCTCTGGGGTTGCATTTTTTTTCACCACGGGCGTTGGCGCTCCGCTTTCGGGCCCCAGGGGGTCCTCACAGATCGATCCGGCTCGGAGAAGGACGCAGAGAGATGGGGTCCGGGGCCCCTGGCGTTATTTTTTTGCGATGTTGCAATTTTTGGTGCAACGTCAGATCCCCGGCCCTCGGGGCCGTGACCCAAACGACTCGGGGCGAAAATCTGGTCCTGGGGAATGGGTCGAGACCTCTGGGGGTTGACGCCCTGAAAAAATCATGACGTCTGGGGTCTGGGTACTCTGGATCCCTTAATAATCGACCCCCCCCTAAAAAACCGGACCCCCCCTTCCTTCGCGACATAATTTTCCGGACCCCCTCCCGCAGAGGGCGCCTTAATATTCCGGACCCCCCCCAGCAAAATTGCGAGCGCCACGACGACGACGACGACGACGACGACGATACGAGAACTACGACTACGACGACGACGACGACGACGACGACGACGACGACGACGACGACGACGACGACAACGACAACGACGACGACGACGACAACGACAACGATAGTCGTCATCGCCATCAGAAGTACCTTCATTGCCACCGCCGCATCATATCGTGATGATGGTGATAACGACGATGATGAGGATGATGACGATGATGTTGAAAATGTTGTTGATGATGATGATCATGATGATGATGCTGATGATGATGTTGGTGATGATGAACCTGATGATGACGATGACGATGACGATGACGACGGTGATGATGATGCTGATGATGATGATGGTTAGTACTCCGCGGGCTAGTACCCAAAAGGCGCCCTAATAAACCGGACCCCCCCTGAACGTCGGCTTCAAGAAACGCCTTAATAAACCGGACCCCCCTGCTTCCCCAAAATGCGCCTTAATAAACCGGACCCGGGGGACGATTATTAAGGGATCCGGAGTAGATCCGCCGGTGCAAAAAATGCAACATCGCAAAAATCGAAGGCCTCGAGGTTGACACCAACACCAGTATCAGCGGTGTGCCTTCACCGAAGGAAGAAGAGCCTGGTCTCGGTGATGGTGGTCATATTCTGGCTTCCAAGCTGACCGAACTAATTACCACCAACACTGAAATCTAGAATCACCTTCCCCCTGTAGAAGCACCCCCCTGTCTTGGTAGTGGTGCACATATTTCCAGGCCTCCACGAGCACTCACGCCGGGAGCCCCGCGGACCCAATTTTTCTGCGTCATTTCCCAAGCCGGATCGGTCTGTGAGGGCCCCGGGGCCCGAAAAACGGAGCCAGAACGCGCCTCTGTGAAAAGATTGCAACGCCAGGGTCTCAGGCTATACCCTGACCCTCCAGGAGGGCTAGAAAATAACGCCCGACTTAAAAACCGATCCCAAAGCTATTCCACGTCTTGGTTTGAGGCTGCTTCGCGCAGCTTTTTAGGGTTTTAGGTCTCCGGTGCTAAAACATAGCTTTCTGGAAGGTCAGGGATAGGAGGTCCCGGCCCTCTCCCTGCAGGGCCGTGCGCTCCGTCCCGGCCCCATTTTTGAGGGCCCCCATGCAGGGCGGGTGACACGCGTGCCCCGCGGAGGCCGACACACCATGGAGGCACGGCGCGCCGGGAGAGAGGCAGCACCATATAAGCGTCGGAGAGCTGGGAGCCCAGATCGATCTCCGACGTCGTGCTCTGTTCACAGGCCAGACCTCCCACGCATGGAACAAAATCAAGGCGGAGGGTTCTCTAGATTTTCGGCCGCGTTCGCGGTCCTCGCCGGGCCCGGGACCGTCAACAAACGACTCGCAGGATGGGAAAAGGGTCCTGGGGAGCGGGTCGAGACTTCAGGGGACCCCGCATTGGAAAAATCACGACGTCGGATCTCTGCAGGGCGTCGACCCCGAGAGGTCTGGACCCCTTCCCCGTTGCCGGCGTGCCACCCCGAGCCGCTTCGGTGACGGCCCCGAGGCCCGGGGAGGGCTCCCGGAGGCCGAAGACAGGGAAACCCTCCTGTCGTTCCCAGACATCCGACGCCTCGATTTTCTCGAGACGCGGACCCCCGACCTCGCGACCACTTCCCCGGGGCCGGTCGTTCGTCCCGAGTTGTTTCCTGACGGTCCCGAGGCCCGGCGAGGGCCTCGAGAGGCCGAAAACTGCGAAAAACCGCCGTCTCGATGTTTTCGAGTCGCCCGGTCTCTGGGCTGTGCTCCCCCGTGACGCGAGGGGCTCTCGGCGAGCCGAGCCTCGACCGCCGAGCCGCGACGCCGCGCGCCGCGCGCAGGCGGCCTGGGCGCCCGCGGGCGCCGCCGCGGCGGCGGCCTGCCGGGCGCCCACCTCCGCCGAGGTGGCCGCCGTGCCCCGCCCGGCGCCGCCGCCCGCGCGCGCGGCGCCCGCCGAGGTGCGCGCGGCGCCGCGGCGGGCCCTCGGCGGCCCACCGGCCGCCCACGGCCGCCCTCGGCCAATCCTCGGCCAATCCTCGGCTGGCCCTCGGGGAGGAGGAGGAGGAGGAGGAGGAGGAGGAGGAGGAGGAGGAGGCCCTCGGCTGGCCATGGGCGGCCCTCGGCTGGCCCTCGCGGCGGCCCTCGGCAGCTCTCGATCGCTGGCCAGGGGCCGCGGGCTGCCCACAGGCAGCCCCCCGTGCAGGCAGTCGTGGCCGGCCACAGCAGGCCCCCCGAGCAGTCCGGGGCGGTCTCGGCACCGTGCACCGCCTCCGGCGGCGCCCCTTTGGGCGCTCTGTTGAGGCCGCCTCGGGCTGGGGCCTGTGGAGGTCCGCCGAGACTGCATGGTTCGGCTGTCTGTGTGGCCACCCCAAAACTTTACCACGCTGCACCCTCGGTCGAGGTTCGAGGCCACAGGTCCGATCGAGGTCCGACCAGGATCAGCGCTGGGGGGGGACGGCTCAGGAGGGGACGCATGAAGCCCTAATCGCCCACTGATCGCCGATAGGGCGATAAGGGCCCGATAGACCAACCTGCCCAGGAAGGGTGGGTTTCGCTATCGGGAGCCTATCGCCGATGTATCGGGGCTGTATCGCCGATTGCAGATCGATGTTGCCCCCCTGAGTCGGTCCCCCGTAACGTTCCCCCTGATTCGAGGGTCGAGGTTGTCGTACGTGTTCGCCAGCTCCTGTAGATTTTCCAACCTCCGGATGCCTTCCAGCAGTTGCGCCTCGCCGAGGGCGTTCCATGGGTGCCCGGGTCGTCCGGAACGGCCGCCGGAGACCCGAATTTCGATTCGAAAATCGAGCGACTTCGCATATCGGTCCGAGCAATTCGTTTCATACCGGTTTCGGCCCGCTCACTCCGACTCTATTCCGATGCTCGACGGTCCGACGCGGCCCCGATGTGTGAACGGCGCGGTGGTGTGTCTTGTTGTGGCCAATCCGATGCGACTTCAACCCATACCGATGCCGACCGATCCGACGCACCTCCCGATCCGATCAGATTTCACGACTCGATGCCGACTGAGCCTGCCCTCGGCGGCGTTCGGGCCCGAAGCACCGGCCGTCGTCGATGTCGAGGCAGAAGGCTCGAGGCTGCACAGCTTCGCGGGTCTGCTGAGTTCTCTGCTCAGGAGAGGAAGAAGCACACAGACACAATTCATCCTCGATTCCCCAGGAAATATCGGGAACTATGGGAAGTGGGGGGGAAGACAGACGCCCAGGAAAGATAGGAAAGTATGGGGAATATGTTTATGTGTGTGTATTTATGTTTGTGTCCTGGGGCCCCTTCATCTGCATCTTTTCTTGCGATTCGGCCGGATCCACTTCCTGACTCCTGGCCTGAGCGCGCCCCAGGACAGGTCCAGTCAAGGGGTCGTTGCCGACGGCGTCGTCGCCGTCGTCGTCGTTCGCCATCTGTGTCGTCGTCGTTGTCGTCGTGGTCGTCGTCGTGGTTGTCACTGGTTGTCGTCGGTGTCGTCGTCCCCGTCGTTGTCGTCATTATCGCGGTGGTCGGTGGCATTGTCGCTGTTTCTCTCTGTTTCGAAGAATCTGTTCTTCGGATATTCCAGCCCCCCACTGGTGTCCATTTTGTTTACCAACCATCATGTGGTGTTGGGTCCTCGTTTTGAAGAGGCAGTCCTGCTTCTCCTTCTCCCCTCCTTCCTCCTCCTCCCTCCTTCCATCCCTGCCTCTCTGCCCTCCGCACCAGTCATATTTCAGCACCATTTCGGCACACCCCTCACACGCTTCGTGGCCCCATAGAAAGCTCAACCGAGGGCCCCAGCGGCAGGGTCCGCATGGCGGACCCGCACCCGATTCAGCACACCATTCACACGTTAGCTGGTCCCAGAGGGAGCTCCACCGAAAGTTTCCGCGGCAGGGTCCGCGTGGCGTACCCGCATCCGGTGCTGCACACCCCTCTCACAAGTTTCGTGGTCTCATAGGGAGCTCCTCCACCGAAGGGCCCAGCGGCAGGGTCCGCATGGCGCACCCGCAGTCGGTCCGGTGCATGTCTCATGCGTTGTGTGGCCCCAGGGGGAGCTCGACCGAAGGTCCCAGCGGCAGGGTCTGCATGGCGTACCCGCACCCGACCCAGTACACCCCTCACACGCTCTGTGGCCCCAAGTAGGGAGGCCCGCCGAAGGGCCCAGCGGCAGGTTCCGCATGCGGCTCCCGGCCCCGTATCGGCACACGCTTCCTATGCTTCGTGGGATCCCATGAGGAGATCCATCGAAGGCGGTACCCACAACGCCAGTATCCACCGCCCAGGCCCCCGACGTCACGATTTTTTCATGACGTCGGCCCCCAGAGGTCTGGACCCATTCCCCGGGACCAGTTCTTCTTCGTCCCGGGTGTGTTTGTGCACGGCCCCGAGGGCCGGCAAGGGCCCCCCAGAGGCCGAAAGCAGCGCAAAACTCCCTTGGTCGTGATTCTTGTTAGGACCCGAGGGGGTCTGGGGGCTGCCTCAATCGGAGGAGGAGGAGGAGGAGGAGGAGGAGGAGGAGGAGGAGGAGGAGGAGGAGGAGGGGGAGGAGGAGGAGGAGGAGGAGGAGGGAGGAGAGGAGGAGGAGGAGGAGGAGGAGGAGGGGCTGGGCCCTTCGCCCGAGCAGTGCCTCCATCGAGGGGCGCCCCCTCGGCCTCCGCGCCCTCGCCCGAGCCGTGGCGGGAGCAGCCCCGGGGGGGGGCTCCGCCTGCGCCCGCCCCCCCCCCCCCCGCCCCGGACAGCACCGCCGCAGCGGCTCCCGCCCGAGACCTCCTCGCGATCGCCTCGCAGAATCGCGCCCTCGCCCCAGACCATATCCAGACCCTCCTCCTCCTGCTCCTCGTCCTCCTCCTCCTCCTCCTCCCCTCCTCCTCCTCTTCCCCTCTCTCCTCCTCCTCCTCCTCCTCCTCCTCCTCCTCCTCCTCCTCCTCCTCCTCCTCCTCCTCGCCCTCGCAGACTGCCATTCCACCGCCAGAACATATCCATATCCACCGCTTCGGAATCGTGCCCTGGGATCTCGAGGAGTGGTGGCTATGGATATCTGCCCGCCCGCAGGGGTGGCCAGATATCCATATCCATCGCCCCTCGATTCCTTGGGGCACGACCCCGCGGCAGTGGATCTGGACATATTCTGGCGGCGCAGCCATGCAGCCTGCTCGAGAATCGCGCTCTCGCGCGAGGCTTCCTCGGGACGCTCTGAGGAACTGCGCCGTGGCCGCTCCGGGATCGTCCTCTCGTCCGAGATGTTCCTGTGTGGCGCGTGGCTGCTCACTTGGGAAGGGCGCCCTCGCCTGCGACATCGTTGCTGCTTGCGCAGGCATTGCTATCTTGCTGTTGGACCTCCTCATGGCTCGCGCTCTCGCCTGGGACTTCCTCGCCGCCGGCCCACTCGACTGACCCGCCCGTTTGGGTCCGCCCGCCCGTCCCGCCCGTTTGGGTCGACCCTCGCGTCCCGCCTGTCAGGATCCGCCTGCCCGACAGGTCCACCTGCCCGACCCGCCCATCAGGAGCCGCCCGCCCGCCTTCCCAGACATGATCGCGTCGTAAAAAAAATCAGGACGGCAAGTTGTTCACAGTTCTCGGCCCTTGGGAGCCCTCGCCGGGCCTCGAGACCGTCAAGAAAACGACTCAGGACGAAGAACCAGTCCTGGGGAAAGGGTCGGGACTTCAGGGACGCCGTCCTGAAAAAATCAGGGCGTCGGAGGTCTGGGTTGATCCCGCCCGCCCGACCCCCGCTGTGGGGTTTGCCCGTTCGCTTGCGTTGGGGCCCGCCCGCCCGCTGTCATGCCGCGCCCGCCCGGCCCGCCCGTGAAGGTGTCCGACCGCCCGACGCGCCTGCCCTACCCTGTCGTGGCATGCCCAGGAGCTGATCTTGCATAGCCCAGCCAAAACGAAGTCCCTCAGGGGGGGGACACGTTCAAGATCAGTCGAGGGCGCCGCGAACGAAGTCCCCCAGGGGGGGGGACACGTTCAAGATCAGCCGAGGGCGCCGCGAGTGACGCGATCGGATGGAGAGCGAACCGTCTTTGATCCATCGTCGGCGAGGCCGCCGTCGCTCTCGTGGCCCCGAACCCAGAGATGCGACGGCGTGAGCTTCTCAGTGCGCGGCCCCAGAGCTCCTCCCGCCTCCTCCTCCTCCTCCTCCCTCCTCCTCCTCCTCCTCCTCATCCTCCTCCTCCTCCTTCTCCTCATCCTCCCTTCTCCTCCTCCTCCCTTCTCCTCCTCCTCCCTCCTCCTCCTCCTCCTCCTCCCTTCTCCTCCTCCTCCTCCCTTCTCCTCCTCCTCCTCCCTCCTCCTCCTCCTCCTCCTCCTCCTCCCTTCTCCGGGGCCAGGCCTCCGCCGCGGATCTCCGCTCCCGACGGGCGGGAGACTCCTCCGAGAGATCCCGCGAGCGGCCCCCCCCCCCCGGAGGGCCGAGACCGAGGATCCAGCCCCGCACCACTCGGGGGTGACGGGCTACGGGGCAAAGGCGGACGGGTGCGGAGGTACGGGGGGGAGGAGGGACGAAGGGACGCAGGGACAGGGATGGGCGCCCAGAGGCCGAAGAATTCCCCACGATACCCGAAGCATGTGAACGCAGATCGGACTTGAGTTTGGAGATTGTCCGTTTCGGGCAAGCAGAGGAGGGTGGACCAATTTGACCTCCATTTCCAGTTGGGGGGGGTCGGGGAACGTCGAGAAGACACATATGGGACCCGTACCCCCCCCCCCCAGCCCGAAATTCGGGTCTTCGGGTTGGGTTGGGGTGGTCTGGTAGGTAGTCAGCCCCGCAGGCCGAGAACCGTCGCCTCCCCGAACCCCGAGGCCCGACGTTGCCGCAGAAAGTGCAGCACCGCCAGGAGAATCACGACCGCAGCACCAGAGCCCCTCGAGCCAGATCGATCTGGCTCCGGATCCATCCCCAGACATGATCGCGCCGTAACAAGATCA